CTGTGAAGTTCCAGCGATTCGACTTCAATAACCTGCACCACCATCCTCATAAGGATCAGGCATCAATAATGGCATGCCCCCCGCATGCGCCCAGGTCAATCGGACTAATACATTCCCAGTAATAATGCGCCGCGCCACTGGCCGGCCCCGGTGGGGCCGCCCGCGCCGCCGCTCACCGATACCCATGCACCTTGACTCTGCATCCTCCCACCGCATTCGCCGCCCCACCCAGGTCACCCGCGCCCCCATCCCGCCATTCCCACACTCACGGGCCCCCACCTCGCATCACGGGCGCGCCCCATCCAACCCTACCCAGATATAACCCGACCCACCTCCCACATGCATCCCAGATCACCCGATCGGACCCCTTCCGCCCATCCCGGATCAAACCTCCCAATAGGGTCACCTTGTGACCTACCTCTCCGCGTCAATGAGACGGCAGATACGTGGAAATAGCCGAGGATAACAGTAATCCATAATGAATGGAGGAGCGTGCGATGAAATGAGGATAATGAGGATCAACGAATATAGGGAGAGAGTGGGGAGTAAAGTGAAACGTGAGTGAATGAAATAAGTGCGACAATGGAAGATTATTAATAATTATAACGGAGAAGCAATATTGAGGTATGACAGGTTTACTTAATGATTGAGAGGCTCGAATAGATAGGCCAGTGAAGATTATAAGTTCATGTACACACACGGTTAGCCCCACACTACACGCACACGCACAACGCACACAAAACACACACATCTACACACACACACACATAGCGACACCACACACACTATTCACAGACACGCATCACGCACGCACGCACGCGATCGCACGCATCGCACAAGCACTCGTAACCACGCCACACACACACACACACACACACATCACACACACATCACATCACACACACAATCACACACCACATTACACGAACTAACACACACATACAACAACACACAACACCACACACACAGGCACTGTCTAGCTTAGTATGAGGATCTTTACTGTCATTATTATCTTTTCCTACATGGGCTATCTGTTGGCTTAAATTTTCCTGGTTCAGTTTTATCCACTAACCTGATGAGTTATTTCGTATAAACAAAATTGTTGTGTAAGACAGGCCTTGTACATAGATTTTCAAACAGCTAATACGAGGTTTTAGTCCCCATTAAATGGACTATTACAGTTTATTAAGTGTATCCATAAATCATATATTATAATGCATGAATCAGATTAGGAGAGGAGGAAGAGAAGGGAAAAAAGGGCAAAATCTGGAAAGTAAGAAAGAATAAAGCTTATATCTTAATGAGGAACCAGAAGTGGACAAGAAGTTGGAGAGAAAAAAAAAAATCAGTTAGCCGTGTGAAATTAGGGCAACAGACACGGGAATTTAAAAAAAGGGCGGGACAGAGAAGACAAAGGAGGGACAAGATAAAGAGGGAAGAAAAAGAGGGATATAGGGAAGCAGTATGGTAGACGTGATGCTCTGAGGTGAGTCGTAGGGGGCGGTCATAATTATTGTGTTAATCCTTTCATCTCCACTTGGCGTTTGTTCCAAGGCGATCGCTACCCCCCCCCTCCTCCCTGTCCCTCCCCCGTGATGCCTTTGAGAAAGTTGATGAGAGGGGGAGAGAGAGGGAAAGAGAGGGAGTAAGGAAGGGGAAGAGAAGAGACGGAGGGAAGGAGGATAGGAAAGAGAAACAAGACAGAGAGAGCCAGAGAAATAGAGGACCATTTGTCCTCGCGGCACCAATCTGATTATATGCAAATAAACATTAAGTCTCCTAACTGCTATTTTTGCCCATTATGCAAAGCGAAGTATTAATTTTTTCATGCTTGACCTCGGATTAACCCCCCCCCCTCTCCCCTCCCCCCAAAAAAAAATTAATATATTATATATGTTGTTATTTTCTCATTTTCGTTTTTTGTTTTGTATACTTTTTGCTCCTCGCTCCCAATGTCATTCCCCCTCGTCCGGTGGGAGGCGCCGGCGCCGCGTAAGAAAAAAAAGAAAAAAATTATTATATATTGTGTTATTTTTTTTCTTCATGCGTTTTTTTTTTTTTGTTTATACTTTTCAGTCTCCCATTTTTTCTTTATTTATTTGTCATTTTCTTCTGTATTCTTTTTTTTTCCAATTTTCCCACACCCTCTCTTCATCCTGATGGTCATTTCATTTGCTTTTATTTCCTCATTCTCGGTTCCCTGTTATTTCCTCATTATTATTTTCCTCCTGTTTCCCCGTTCTCACTTCGCTGTTCTCATTTCTCTTCATTATCATCAATCTCATTTTCCTTTCGTTTCCTCATTCTTATTTCCCTTCTTTTCCTCACTATTTTCCTCCGTTTCATCGTTCTCGCCTCTATCTCTTTACTCATTATCATTTGTCTTTTCGTTTCCTCATGCTCATCCCCCTCCTTTATTCCCATTATCCTTTCTCCTTCCATTTCTTCGTTCTTATTCCCATTCTTTATCTTTACTATCATCTCCCTTCCATACCATTTTCTTTAGTCTCCCCGTCCTCACTTCCCTTCCCGTTTCCCTCTTTCTATCTCCATTATCATTTCTATTTATTTCCCTATTTCTCACCCCCCGCTCCCTCCCTTCTTTATCATCAATATTTTTACTTCTATTTCCCTATTCTCCTTTCCGTTTCCTCGTGGTTATTCCTCTTCCATTTCCTTATTTTCATCTTCCTTCCGTCTCCTCACTGCCATTTCCCTTTCCGTTTCTCATAGTCTTTTCATTTTCCATATCTTCCTTCTTTATCTACTTTATCCTTTCCACTTCCATTCCCCTATTCCCATCCCTCTTCTTTATCCACTCTATCATATTCCCTTTGCATTCCGCTGTTCCCACCCCTCTCTTGTTTTTTTCTAATTTTCTTTTTTTTCTTTTTTCTTTCTTTTCTTTTCTTCTTTTCTTTTCTTCTTTCTTTTCTTTTCTTTTCTTTTCTTTCTTTCTTTCCTTTCTTTTCTTTCCTTTTTCTTTTTCTTTTCTTTTCTTTTCTTTTCTTTTCTTTTCTTTCTTTCTTTTCTTCTTTTCTTTTCTTTTCTTTTCTTTTTTTCTTTTTTTCTCTTTTCTTTTCTTTTCTTTTCTTTTCTTTCTTTTTCTTTTCTTTTCTTTCTTTTCTTTTCTTTTTCTTTTCTTCCTTTTCTTTTCTTTTCTTTTTCTTTGCTTTTCTTTCTTTTCTTTCTTCTCTTTTTTAATCCCGTTTCCCTTCTGGCTCCTCAGGGCAAGGGCGAGATGAACACGTACTGGCTGGAGGGAAGGAAGGAGAGTGCCAAGTCCTCGTGGAAGTGATGGAGGAAGAGCCTTTCCAGGTGCCTCATCCCCGAGGGCGTCCCGGAGAGGTATTCCCCTTCAGCGGGCGTTGACGGAGGGGCGGCGGCAGGGGCGGCGGCGGGGGCGGCGGCGGCGACGGCGGTGGCGGGATTCTGTCGTCCGTGAGAGGTTTCGGGTCGCTGGTGGAAAGGACGGTGGTGGTGTTTTTCTCTGTTTTCATTTTTTTGGGTCTATTTTTGTTTTCGGTTGTCTATCTTCTCTCTGTCTCTCTCTTGTCCTCTTTCTTTCTTTCTTTCTTTCTTTCTCTCTCTCTCTCTCTCTCTCTCTCTCTCTCTCTCTCTCTCTTCTCTCTCTCTCTCTCTCTCTCTCTCTCTCTCTCTCTCTCTCTCCTTCTCTCCTCTCTCTCTCTCTCTCTCTCCTCTCTCTTCTCTCTCTCCTTCTCTCTCTCTCTCACTCTCTCTCTTTCTCTCAGTGAAGAAAGTACACTCCACCATCTGCAGAATTAAATAAAAGAGGTACAACATGAGTAATAGAATATGTAAGACAACAGTAAGCTTCATAGACGTCCTGTGCTTAGTGCAAATTCGTGTCCCGACCGAGTACCCTTATCAAAAAAAAAAAAAAGGGTTAATGATAAATACTGTATTTCAACCAAGAATGTCGCCAGTCAAGTTTAGCCACGAACTCGGCGGAAACGGGAGCTGTGTTGTAGTGACCGCCAGTGTTGATGTCAGGCATTGCTAGAAAGATTTAGAAGTGTGTTAGAATTCAGGAAATGACTGTTAGATGTCTTCGTGGGGAACCGAATGTGTTGTTCGACTCGTGCAGTATTTTTGGGGTGTTGTGTGAGCGTGAGAAACTGCTAGACTGTTGTCTGATTGCTTATAACATATCTGCCTTAAATGTCTTCTTGTGAGCACCACGATATACTGCATTCTAGAAAGTCGATGCTATTATTTTTTATCTATTTATTTTTTATATATGTGGAGAGAGATTCGAGAGTTTAGTATAAAACAGGATATTATAACGCTTTACGATTTTATTTTTATTAAATATATAGAATGAAGGTGCTCTGTTATCCAACAACAGTGATCTCCGTAGACTTAGCACAGTAATAAAATGAGGATAATATCTAGATTTATATATACATATATATTTTCCTATAGCGGATGACCAGATAAGAGGAAATAATTTTTTATTGAAATGTAGTTCAGTGTTTAATATGTGTGTGAAATAGGATCACATTAGTTTATGAGTGGCACGACATTTAACCAAATACATATAGAGCCATTCATAAAGTAACATTTACCAAGGCATTGTGTCGTAAAAAAATAGAAAGAAGTATTTAATAACTTCATAATGTGCTGTGTTTGTGTAGCTGAAGATAAAACAACGCTGGGTGAGATGGTGACAATGGAACAAAGCTTGTATATGTAGAGGTTTGAATGATTATCTTCACAATACGAAAATGTATTTGACCGGCTTCGAATATATCTTCGTCAGAAATACATGTTGGAATAAAGCTTATGATAGATATATGTCTTTTATTTCCTACCAATAATTATTTTTTTTCTTTTCGGTTCAAATGCATTGGTGTTATAATCCCACTCCACATTTTTTTATTATTGACAAAGTTTTTCTTACTTTTTCTTTCGTTCCGTCTCATTTTCTTTTTTCTCTATTTTCTTTCGTCCTTCCTCTCCTTTCTTCTATTATTTCCTTATTTTCCTTTTCTTTCTCGCATTCTCTTTTTTTCTTTATTTCCCCCCTTTTCTTTTTCTCACGTTCTCTCTTCCCTTTCTCCTACACTCACTTTCCTGCATCTGATGTTGGCGTTGATGTTATTATCATTATCAAAGAGAAGTGGCTAAACCGTCTATTTTCGGTTGCCGGCGATGAAAATACTTTAAAGCACAGAATTGAGGCCTCTCTGCCAAACAGTATTTCTATCGCTGTATTTAGACACTGTTCAGACGAGCGACTTTAGTGGCGCGACTGCTAGAAGCGCGACTGCCAGGTCAATGGAAGTGAATAGGAGTGCACACACGTAGTGGCTTTGGCTGGCCTGTGGCGCGACTAAGGCCCTGTTTAACGATCGATTACGATTGCTAGAAGCGCGACTAGTGAGTGAATATCCACACACAGTGCTTACAGTGGCCCGACTCGTCTCTCGCCGACTATTGTCTCTGTTTTTTTCTTTCTCTCCTCTCTCTCTTCGGTGGCTGATCATATACAGACAGTAATGGATGTAGAAGAGGTGGCATGTGCATGGGTTTTATTTCGTCGTTTGCAGCGGCGGAAGAGGAGACGGACATTATTGTGTTCATCCTATCTTAATGACAGACTTACCCATGGAATGTTCTTCACATTGTATCCAAAGTTACGAGAACATGAACCCAAGTTCTTTAATTACACGAGAATGTCCATCAAATCAGGAGGACAGGCTGGGGGAAGCGGAAGCTACTGTCTGTCTCCGCTCCATGTGCTCTCATTGGTCGAAAGCCACCCCTTCAGCCAATGAGGCGGAAATCACCATGAAAATGCAGTGGCTCTCGCTACCACATAGCAACACATGTTCCTCGAGTGGCTGAGCAGTCGAGGGACTGTGAGGAAAATCTCTTAGTCGCGCCACAGGCCAGCCAAAGCCACTACGTGTGTGCGCTCCTATTCACTTCCATTGACCTGGCAGTCGCGCTTCTAGCAGTCGCGCCACGAGAAGTCGCTCGTCTGAACAAGAGATTTTCCTCACAGTCGTTGACTGCTCAGCCACCGAGGAACATGTGTTGCTATGCGGCCGCACACACACGGCGACAGCCACTGCATTTTCATGGTGATGGCGCGATTCATTGGCTGGAGGGAATGGGATTCGACCAATGAGATCAGGAGAGAGAGAGGAGAGGAGAGGAGAGAGGAGAGAGAAAGAGAGGAGAGGGAAAAAGAAAAAGTATATATACAAACGTATAATTAAAGAAATCAGGAAGCTATTACCTCATGCAAATAGAAGAAGCTTTGAAGCTTGCAAAAGTTTCGAAAACCAATTATACAAGAAATTTGAAAGTAATTACGAAAATTTCTTGCTTTGATGCTGAAGTGATATTATTTATTATTATTACTATTATGATATTATTATTATTATCATCACCTTTATTATCATCATTTATTATTCATTGATTATTAATCATTGTTATTATTATTATTTACTATTATGATTATTATCATTATCATCATTTTTATCATTACTATCATTCATTATATATCATTACTATCATCATTGTTATTGTAATATTATTATTTAGATCAGTTTTTATTCATCAATATCGGTAACATTACTTTATTATGATTTTATCATTATTATCATTATTATTTTTGCAATCGGTAACATTACTTTATGATTATCATCATTGTTATCATTATTATTATTGATTTTATTTTTACTATCGTAATCATCATTTCACCATTATTATGATCATTATCATTATTATTATCGTTAATGTTAATGACTTTTTCTTACTATCACCTTCATCACCATCTTTATTATTGTTATCATGATTACTGCAAAACATAATCCTTACTATACTTATCAACATTTTCATTATCATCAGTTTTATTGCTGTTGTTATTATCATCATTACCTCTTTCTCTCTCTTCCCCCTCTTTCTCTCCTCTCTCTCTCACTTCTCTCTTCTCTCTCTCTCTCTCACTTCACTCTCTCTCTCTCTCTCTCTCTCTCTCTCTCTCTCCTCTCTCTCTCTCTCTCCTTCTCTCTCTCTCTCTCTCTCTCTCTCTCTCTCTCTCTCCTCTCTCTCTCCTCTCTCTCCTCTTCTCCTCTCCTCTTTCCCTCTTCTCTCTCTCTCCCTCTCCCTCCCCACTCTCTCTCTCTCCCCTCTCTCCCTCTCCTCCTCCCCTCTCTCTCTCTCCCTTCCCTTTCCCTCCCCCCCCCCCTCTCGCTCTGACTTTATAATGCACAAGGGATGATTTAGAAAGGCAATAAACAAGAGCCTGTCCCCACGACCTAAATCACTATTATTACTCTTAAGAAAACCAAGAGGCACGGGAGAGATGTTCATATGTGTGTTCCCTATTTCATCCATCTTTTTCGGTCTTTTTTCTGTGTTATATATATTTCTGTACGCTTCATTGTCCTTCTGTTGTTATCATATTCCTTATTGTTGTTATCAGATCGACTCTCTGTCAAATATCAATTGCTGTTGTTGTTATATCGTGAGCGACTCATCTGCACTTCACTGTGTTATATCATATTCCTGTTATAAATACGCTTATTGCTGTTGTTGTTATCATCGTTGAAAATCGACTCGGGTATCTGTCACTTCAACTGTGTTATATCATATTCCTGTTGTAAATCTGTCACTGGACGCGACATAAAAGAGGTCTTTAGCATGAGTTATGTCGTACATGGTCACGCAATACGGACTCTTCCACCAACCTAACGTAGAGAGAGAGTGAGTCATTTTATCCCCTTTTATGACACGGATGACACGTATCAAATGCTGCTGCTTTACCGACGGCTGTTAAATCGCACATCAGCTTTTATCCGGTAGCAAATGACGACACATTTCGAAGCGGATTAAACAGAATGAACTCTGAAGTATCGCTAATTACAATGGGATAATACATGTAGGTCTATGGTATGTGGATGAACATGGAACAATTTTATTAGGATTAGTATTTATGGATTTTTCAGCACCTTCTTTAACACAACTTTTTCATTCTAAATGTATATATATAATATATATATATATATATATATATATTATATATATATATATATATATATATATATATATATATATATATATTATATAATAATATATAAACTGCATCAAAATTATGCACTCTGTCAAAACACCAACATACAACCACATACAAAAATACACACACACACACACGACACACACACACACAACACACACACACACACACACACCACACACACACACACACACATACATACATATTATATATATATATTATATATATATATATTATATATATATATATATTACTACAGCATTTTTCTCGTCGGACAGCACACGCCTGCACAATACCGGAAATCTGCAACAATATAGTGTATCCTTAGCGAGGGCACTTGGCACTCATTACCTGGAGTGGGTAGGATCTGTTTCTTTTATGATATTTTTTTATTTTTATTTCTATATCCTCATTCTGTGAA